ACATTCTCCAAATGAAATGGAAGACAAAAGTCACTGAGGTCAAAGGAAGGACAAATTACCTCTATCTGTGAGTAGGGGGAATCGAAGGTGAAATGCAGGAAAGTAGAGACAAGGCTTCCTTGCCAGCTCTGAATAGATGAGTCATCAAGAACTCCTCCTGCCTTCCCAATGTCTATAAATAATCCCAGGTGCTGCCATTTCATTTAATTACTAAGCCTCTCCAGATGGAGAAAAATAATTAAGCAGTCTGTAGCACCAACATGATATAAAGAATGGATTAGTAACTCAAGAGACATTTGAATTTGGATGTTTCCTTTCAACTATGAAATAAGGGCAGAAATTAAAAAAAAAAAAAAAGAGGGCAAATGACTCCATTCACCTTAGGGAAACTCAAATGGCTATAATAAAATTTGGATGGAGTTTTAATAGAAATGAAAAAAGTACTAATACAAAGGGGTTCAGCTCAACACTCCCAACAGAAATAGGAAAGCTAACATGAAAAGAAGAAAGCCCAAAAGCTGTTGAAGATAGCTCAAAGAGAAACACTTCAGGAAGGATAACTCACAAACAAGTCACATGCAATTTACTTTAAAAAAAAAACTATATCAATACACCTGTTAGCTGGGTTCCTACATATGGACATGATCATAGTTTTATATCTTTGTGTTTGAGGTAAAAACCAACTGGTGAGTATGCCCTAAAAGGAGGTGGAGAGAATGCTATGTGGGAAAGGCTTCTAAATGTAGATGCTCTTAAAAGAATCAAACACTTATATCTTCCAATGAAACCCCTTTGTATTATAAGTAAACACCAATTCAAAACAGAAGCATACATTTATAATTCCAAAGTTCCACAGAAAACCTAGATGAAAATTTAGGCACTATGTAACAATAGAGATAATGTGGCAATAGAGATAATGAAATGAATGGGACACTATCCGCCCATTGTAAGCTCAATTAAAAACGAAAATTAATTGAACCTATATAATGGAGATACCAAACTTCTATGAGCAACAGATTAATGTACTCATTACCTGAATCATGTAATTATAACCCCTCTGTACATCACCTTTACAATAAAATTTAAAAAATAGTGGGCGGCACCAAATGTGCTTTGGTGTTGGTAGAAAAATGAAAGGTTGAGCAATAATAAAAGCAATAATAAGAGAACAGCTGGAAAACAAAAGCAAAATAAAAGAAGAACCCAAATCGCAGGTGTGACAGAGATTCCTGTTCTAAAATCTATAAGCCTACTCAAAGGCAAAGTCATTTGGAATACTGGCTATAAACTGAAGCCAATTAAATCTTTTAATTCTGGCCTATTTTAAAAGTAAAGTTTTGAAGATTACCCAATTATTACACTTAATTCTATGTCCTGTTAGCATGGGCTTTCCTATTTCTTTAACTAGACAATCCATGTAGGGTATTAGAATAGGAGTATGTTTTAAAAGTACATTGTATATTAAAAATAAATTTTAAAATAAAACAGTATATTTTAAAAGAACAAATCACTTCCCCTATTTCATATATTTTTTTTTACAGGCATTTAAAACAGACCCACAGTAGGGAATGGGGGAAGTTCTAGGAAGCAAGTGCACCTTCTTCAAGGGTTCTGTGGCATAAGATGTACACAACCATCCATGGCTGCTATGCTTCCCCCATCTTATACAGAATAGCCATTCATTCTTCTTTCATGTATGCTTGTACAAAGCACTCAGAGAAACATAGTTTGCCATCTTTCCAATCTGAAGCTGAACCTTAACTCAGTATGTTACCAAAAAACCCAGCAATTACCAATCATGCTATTCAAAGTGTATGGGGGTCCATGATCTTGAGACCATGTTAAGGTGAAGAGATGATGACCGTCGCTGGAGATTGTTAGAGAGGGAATGCATGTTCCACCAAGGCAGAGACCTAAACACCTCATATCTTCATTTCTGTGAGGACATTTCAAGTCCTTATGTGCATGAACCACTCATAGTGAACAGTACAAGTTCAACAAATCATGACCAGGAGCCAAACCAGAAAGCACGAAGATTACCCAGAATGACAGATATATGTTGAAGACATGTGTGCAGTCTGGAAGGGGAGGATGAAAGAAGGAAAGAGTGAAAATGTAAGAAAGCCATCTTTACACATAGAACCGTCAGCATCAATATGGTCAATGAATACATGGAGCTGAGGCCTATGAGCATGCACATGGGGACCATTCTTATCAGGTCACTGTGCAGCATGAGTACATGATTTATAAATACCTGGCCAGAGTGCAGCCTCATTATAGATGGACAGGCTTCTGTTTACCCCCTGTAGCCATTAGCACAGAGGACTATGACTGTGAGATCCAAATAGCAGGCCTTTCTATCTGATAGACTGAATCCACCAATTAGTGCTGCCCCTGGCACAAAACAGGTAGGTAGATGATAAATGCTTCTTTGATACCAAAATATAAGAGGCCAGGTTGGAATTTGAAATATATATATATATATATATATATATATATATATATATATATATATATATATCTTAAGATTTCTCTATTTTGGAGAGAAATAATCAAATTTTCAAACTTAATCATTCTTCTAGAAAAATTCAAAATACAAAGATCTCAAAATGAGATCTAATTAAGCTGAGAAATTAAAATAACAATAATACTTCTTTCCTTTCCATTGTGTGACACAGTGTGAACTCAAATATCTAAATACACAACAAAGAAAGCAGCTCCACACAGCTGCTGTATAAATAAAAGTCTCTCCTATTTCTTATTACCTGTTCTCTATTTTGTGTCCACAGTCTAGCAAGGCAAAATTTACCAGAGTACCTAAGAAATGAAATACACCTTGCGTGTCTTCATATACAAGCTAGGAGCCATATCCTAGAAATACATAAAGAATTTTTTTTTAATCTAGATTTCAGAATATTTTGGTGCTTTGCCTGCTCTAGACTCTACTTGGTCTTATATTTAACAAGTATTTATAGAATTACCAATCAAAACTCAAACATATTATACCAAGGATGACCTACAAAAGTGGGTTTGGTTGGTCTGGGCTGAGAGGAGTATGACAGAGAAGGTGGGGAGCAGAATCTCAGCTAAGTGGAAAACAGCATGTAGAAATAAGGGCGCTAACAAGAAAAGAGGAAGTACCCACTGAGTACTTATGTGATAGTAGTATTGTCAAGGACAAAAGAATAGAAGGTTACAAAAATCTAAGACATAATCATGTCATCCTCCACCAGGGCAGTGCCATAACCTGCAGTGTAGGATGCTCACAATATCCTGCTCATGAAAAGAAGACATAGGTATCATGAGGTCTCCAGCCCAAGACACAGATGAATACATATAAATACACAGTATTTGGCATTGCCAAATGTATCTACTGTGTACTTGGAACTACAAACAAGGGACTGATTTAATCACAACTATCATCTTCCTGATGCATTTGTTCTTATCCCCATTTGGCGGATGAGAACACTGAGGCTGCAAAGTTTAACCACATCAGCATTATGTAGCTGCCAGGTAGAAGAGGTGGGATTCAAGAGCAAATATTTTCTCCTTCATCAAATCAACTCTTAAAATACTATGTTCTATGGTGTTTCATCAATGTCATCACAGAAGAAGAGTCTGTTGAAGAACAATGGGTCAATCAGCCTAACACAGAGCATAAATGACCAAAATATTTGACCATGCCCCCTAGAAAATAATACATTTTATAGTATAAACAGTATAAGTCCAGAATGCAAGATTGTGTATAAACTAATTCATCATGTGCTAAAAACATTTTGATCCTTACAGCATGATATATGTCAATATTTCCCCTACTTTATATAATGGGATTTAATTTATTTTAGAAATGCTGGTTTAGGGCCACTGAAATGCTTTCCTGGCATACTGGTAGAATAGAGTCCACTGACTTGAAAACTGATGCTCTAACTTGATGGTATGTAGAATACTAAGCTTTTCACATATACTCTCCCACAGCATTCTTTATACAAGCAAAGTGAATGGATGCAGATTGTTTAGAGGGAGTTAGAGGTGAATGGAGAGACTTGTCTACTAAAAAGAGGGGGAAATTAACATCTTCCAACTGAATGGCATCATCTCAATGACAAAGAAGCTGGTCCCAAAAGGCAGATGTTAAAGGCCTACCTTAGAGGAGGCAAGGATATCTTTTTTCTCCCCTTTGTTAGGAATATATCACTAGAAAGAGGGGCACATGTGTGTAGTGTTTTTAGGCAAAATTTTAAGACCAGGAAAAACAACAACATCAAATCATAGCCTATTGCTTGGGTTGTTTTCCTTACAAAACACAAGCATGCCTCCTATAGGTAACCTGGACAAGGCACACAACTCATCTACCTTGCTTTAACTTGATTTGACATATTAAGCCTGGAGAGGATTATCTGAGGCAGGATAGACAGTTTCCATTCTATATGCAAAATCTACAATAAGCTCTGAGTGATAATCAATATAAGCACATTAAAAGAAGAAGAACTGATTAGTTTGTGGACATACTAATTCAGAAAGAGTTTCAGTATGAACTTGTTACCATGAGGACTTGGAGGAGAGAAAGAAGAAGGGATCTCCCTCAAAGAAGTGACTGATGCTATTGATTAATCTAGATACAAGAAGTAATGTCAAATTTTAAAGTTGCTAGAAAGAAAACCACCTTTAAAAAAAATTAAGTCTCTTAATATGCTGGAGGAACCTGTTCAAAACGCTTTAACAGCAAAGTAACTTAGATGATAAATGTGCTCTTCAATCTGTGCACCAGACAAGTAGCAATAAAATCAGAATAATTCATGCAAAAATTTTCATTATGTTTCTAAACATACTTATTTACATTTTAAATCACACATTAGACAATATGAAATATCTTTCATTCAGACAGGTGTGAACTAGAAAACAGATGCATTCATTAAACATGGAACAATCCGGCGAATTACTAAAAAAACAATGCTCTGAGAAACTCTCTGCTTGAAGTACTTCAGCCACTGTTAACTTACTTGGAAAAATATGGCCATGGCTCCAATTATTCTGTTCTCAGAAATGGCGGTTTGAAAGCTGTCAAAATCGTCAGGATTGTAAAAGAAAATCTGCATCTGTAAAGACAACAAATTAAAAAAAAGCATTAGAAAAATTTTCATATGCATACGAAGGTAGGCAATAGTAGAGTGGACTTATCTTCCCACAGTACCACATTAATCATGTATTTAGACATTTCTGTTGCTAAAATATTTGCAAGTAGACAGGATAATAGGTCATTTTACTCCTACTTATGAAGGATGCATCACATTCGCTGTAGAAATAAATAATACTAATCTCTCCTTATCTACTACAAAGGTCACAGAGAAATTTCCCCCCAAAAGAAGCAAAATTTTAAACACCATTAAATATCTCAGTGTAGAAAATAGCCTATGAGAGTATCCATTTGTCAACACATTAACGAGGACACTGTAAGAAAAGACTTGTATACAAGTGGAAAATTGTGAAGAAGCTTGTTAGTAGCTTGAAGAGACAGTCCAAAGGGCTAATGCCAGTCAATTCACAAAGAAACCCAATGGCAATGATAATAGCAATGGTTTCCATTTGACAGGGTGTAAAAATCCATTCCCTTCCTTCTGTCACTTAATGCTTTTAACAAGCCTGGGAAGATATGGAAGAAATGACTATACTTAGCTAGAAGTGGGGAGGGGGGGGGTGAAGGGGGGTGGGGCACAACACAATACTTCAGGAATTGGATGACAGCAAGTTGTGGAAGATTGAACAGCAGAGAGACTCTATTTTGGGTACTCCCATCCCTACCTTAAATCCTTTCTTTTACACCTGGTTAGAGTTTCTTATTGAAATAAACAAAACATAGATAGATCAACTTAAAATCACTACACAGTTTCAATGCTTGAAAATATCTTCTTACTTAAAAAGCACCCAGAAAACAAAAGAAGACTGCAGAGCATACCCAGAGGACTGAGTGATAGAACAACAGTTCTTTGCCTATTTCCCTATAAGCCTGCAGGCAAGATATCATCTGAGCCTCAGTTTACTTGCATATAACGACAGGTATTTCTTCTTGGAGGGTGGTTGTGAGGATCTAACATGTCAGTGTAGTGCAGAGCACTGTGCTTCTACCTCACCAGCCTTTGTCACCACCATCATCCTATAGCAAGGTTAGCCTTTAATAGACATCTTAAAATTCCTAGGTGAATGGGACTCCATTTTATCCTTCAGTATGAATGACCCTACTACTTAAGAGAAAATCAGATCTGCTACACTATGAGTTCCTTTCACAACTTCTGTTTCCTCACTTTTCTAAATAGCACCATGATTTTTTTGTTTGTTTGATTTTTGGTAACACAGTGAAGTAAGGAGGTCTGGCCATCGCCATACTGGCCACATGGTGGATGGTAGGGTCTGACATCTTGTCTACATGCTGTGAGAAGGGACACCCTTCCTCCCCCATCACCTGACTCCCAGGTAATGGGCATGCCAGACCCCTGGAGGCAGGGGCAGGCACTTAGCTGATAGGTGACTGAATCTGTCAGTCCAGTGCAAGGGACTGGGAATTTCCTAAGCATCTGCCCCCTGCATTGACCTATTTAGACCTAGACCAGCCTAGCCATGGGGACTCCATGCCAGGTGTGGCTCTGTGATTGTGTCCTGTCTCCTGGCTTATCTCCAGTCATCATGGCCTCCCAATTCAGCTCTCCATTGGAGCTGAACTGGCTTGTTGGTATTGTTTTTGTTCTTTCTTTCCTCTTTAGCATGTTTCCTAGCTGTGTTATGTGTATTTGTGTGCTGCAGGCCTTTGTAACAACTGGAAGCCTGCAGCCTAACTGGATAATAAAGACTCCAATATTATACATTTTTAAATGTGGCTTCTGGGATGATTTACCTTACAACAGTAGGTCCTGGGTATTGCAGGTGCATGGCTCCAAGGACAGCATCATTGAGGAAAAACAAAATCTTCAGGATGCTTCAAGTTGAGTGATTTAAAGTTATTTATACTAGGTGCTGGTGGCTCATACCTGTAATCCTAGCTACTCAGAAGGCTGAGATCTGAGAATCACAGTTCAAAGCAAGCCTGAGCAGGAAAGTCTGTGAGACTCTTATCTCTAATTAACTATCAAAAAACTGGAAGTGGTGTTGTGGCTCAAAGGGGTAGAGTTTTGAGCAAAAAATCTCAGGGACGGTGCCCAAGACGTGAAGTTACCCAAATTTACTTATATTGTATGTACCATGGATCTAAATACATTGAAGCCACATAGACTAGACTATCTTACTGTCACAAAAATTATTTCTGTACGTATTATTACAGCTCACTTAGAGCTATATCTCATTTTAAATACTGTAGATGCTTGATTCCTTTTTCCCATAATGTCATCTAATTTCTGCTAAACACATACCCTCTGATAACAAATCTAAAAATTTTACTTTATCACTTCAATTCAACTTTATCACTTCAAGATCAACTTCAGCCTTACTTTGTAGGCACCATTTGCTCTTGGGGTAACAAGTTTTCACAAGGCTGACAGAGCTTTTCCACACTGAGCTGTGCAATGCATATGGGTGTTTAAAAACTTTTGTTTTTGAAATTTCTTGTGTTTTATTTAATTTTACTTTTACTATGTCTGGTCAAAATCCTGTGTGGTAAATCCATAATACATCCTAATGGAACTTTGGGGATTTGACCTTAACTTATCAATTCCTAGAGAGCAAAGCTAAGTCACAATTAGGTGAGGAACTGATGTATAGGCCAAAGATAAACAGAGTTTGGATGAACAGTATCTAAGAACATGTGGCCATTTGGACTCTAAAGGGTGGGTGGCATTAGGTAGCTCAATTCAGAGCACTTTTCCATGGAAATTCTGGGATGGTATCTACACATATGGGAGATGGAAAAGGTAGAATCGTTTTTTTTTTTTTGGTCCAGTCGTGGGGTCTGAACTCTGGGCCTGGGAGCTGTCCCTCAGCTCTTCAGCTCAAGGCTAGCACTCTACCACTTGAGCCACAGCACCACTTCCGGCTTTTTTCTTTTTGCTTATGTGGTGCTGAGGAATCGAACCCAGGGCCTCAGACATGCAAGGCAAGCACTCTACCACTGAGCCACCTTCCCAGACCCGGAAAAGGTAGAATCTTTTGGAGGATTTTCTTTCTTAAAAGCAAATGCTTTCACACAGGACATTGGATCCTCACTGATTCTGGCAGTTACTTACAAATGTGTTACTTTTAGGTTGGGACAGCTTTAGACTTCATGAATTTACACTGAGAAAAATCCATCCCATGAAGTACAGATTAAAACAGTTTAATACTAGGTGAATTGCTTTGGCCACAATGCTACTAACCCAAGGAAAGAAACTCTGCACAAGTATATTCAGAAAATGACACTTCACTTTTCCTTTTAAACATAGGTCCTCAAATTAAGTAGGTTCACAGAGGTCTGTGTTATACTTCAGCCCACAAATGAGGCCAGTGCTGTTTAACGCATCATGTCAATAGTGTGTGATACAGAATACTTTAAGCCTCTTTAAGGACATTCATTTACAGCTAGGTAAAATACATGTGGTTTTAGAAAATGTTTACATCCAGGCTCCACCCACCCAGATAATAAAACATCTCAAACAGAAAAGTAGCGCAGGCAGGAAATATCAAATTTCCTTGCTATTTTTCTCACATGGTAGTCTACTGAGTTAGGTCATATATCTAAATATATGAAAGTAACTAAGGAGATGAGGTTTTGCTGAGTGAACTGGAGTCTTGGATTTGTGCTGCCATTACTGATGAGTTAAAATTTGGACAGATGCTAGAAACCTCTTTTGCAAAGGCATTTTGGCAGGTTTGGGCATGGCTACCAAGACTCTACATTTACTCTCAAAAGTCAGATCCCCACACACCTCCCTCCCATATCCCACAAAGTATATGTTCTTTCTAATAAGACGGATATGAACAATACTTAAAACGTAACAACTTTGCATGATGCAAAGAAGCCAAAATGTTTTTGAAATGTTTGGCAATCAAAGATCTAATATGGAAAAGTGCTATGGCTCACCACTGTAATCCCAACCACTCAGGAAGCAGAGATGGAGAGGACAGTAGTTCAAGGTCAGTCCAGAGAACAGTCAATGAGCTCTCCATCTCAACAAATATGAGATGAACAATGGTGAAGGTCTATCATCCCAGCTACTCACCAAGTCTAAATAGAAGGCTCATGGTGGGAGGTGGGGAAGTGAGACGCTGTTCAAAATTACCTAAAGGATAAAGCAGGGCATGCCCCAGTTATGAAAATACCTGCTTGCCAACCACAAGCTCTTGGGTTCAAACCCCAGCACCACAAAAACTTCTATTAATTTTTTTCTCTATTCTTCTTTTACTAGCTTATTAGTTATGCAGGGTGAGGAGCACAGATTTCATTGTTGCCGTTCCACACTTGATTGCACTATTTTATATATTCTTTACATAGTATGTTAATCAGACTTTTGTCACCGTGACAGATAGATGAGAAAAATAAGATAAGGAGGAGAGATTTCTTTTGATTTAAGATTCAGAGGCTTCCACCCGTCAGGCTGGGCTAACCCAGTGTGGGATGGTACCACAAATAACACATTCACAGCTGCACTTTCCAGTGTCCTAGGATCTTCCAATCAGGTTGACAGGCAAATCAACGATCACAACCCAATCTCTCCAATTATTAAAGTTTCCAAACTTTGCAACTATCATTACGAAAGAAAGTAGAGTAGGGCGGAGAAGGATTCAAGAACTCAGGGAATGAGCTTCTTTCCAAGGGCAAGAATACTTGCCTATAATGGCTGCTCTGTGCAAGGCACCAGACGACTGATAAAGACACAGCCAAGCCTTAGAAAGGCTGGATGTTATTAGTAAGACAAGGTTAACCTTTGCTTTGAGTAAAGGTATCACAAAAAAGCCTAAGGCAATGAATAGAATAGATCTTGGTCAAGTGAGAAGTATATTCAGTGAATTCTAAAGTAATACAGAAGAGAAGGAAACTTTTTTTTTTCCCCCTAGAAGAGGAACTTTATTCTCTAGGACTGTGGGTCTAAGTCAGCTCTCAAGTTTTTGTAATAAGGAAGGCAAGTGGAAACAAATC